CAGTGGTTCTCAACCTTGGCTGCACGTTAGAATCACCTGGGAATCTTTTTAAAATCCTGATTTCTGGGCCTCATCCTCCGGAAATTCTGTTTCTTTGTGATGGGTTGGGGCCACAACATGAGTAACAAAGACACAGAATTTCTGGAGGATGAGGCCCAGAAATCAGGATTTTAAAAAGATTCCCAGGTGATTCTAACGTGCAGCCAAGGTTGAGAACCACTGCCCTAGACCCTGAGTGAGCACAGCCCCTGGAGACACCCCTCCAAGCCCTGGCCCCAGCCCTTGGCCTCGACCTCTCTGCCAGACCAAATGTCCGTCTGGTGCGGTGCCCATGGCACAGTCTGGGTCAATGCTCCCAACACCCTCCCACTCTCCTGGGCTTGGCTCCCAGCTCCCGCCCCCTCCCCCAGCCTCTGGCAACCCTGATGGGCCGTCTTCTGTGGCTGTGTACCTCTGGCGCCCGTCACTGCCCCCCTCCCTCCCTGTCACTGCTGCTCCCTGCCCTGGTCCCTGCTTCCCTCCCACCCACCTCCCCCTTGTCCTGTGCACCTGCAGCCTGAGCTCCGTGGAGCTGAGCGAGCAATCACTGGAGGAGCTGCAGGCTGTGAGGACAGCAAAGCCAGGCCTGGTCATCACACACGCGGCGCTGGACAGCCACCCTGCGTCTCCCCAGGAGCTCAGCACGGCCTTGTAGGCCCCGCAGGCAGGAGGACGCCCCTCAGCCGAGGAGTAGCTCTCCCGTCCGAGGGCCTGAGGGTGTTGCTGAGGGGCCCGGGCAGACAGGGAGAAGCCCCGACCGACGGGCCTGGCCCCCTCCATGGTCCTCCACAGGGCCCAGGGCATGCCCCTTCCCCACACCCCGGGCCCTAACCTCCACTGGGCCCCACCCACCTTCCTCCCCCGGGGCCCTGCAGCCATCCCTTTGCAGCCCCGCCCCCAACAACGATGCTGGGAGCCCCCATAACGGAGCGCCTGCCACGCACGGCCCGTTACTGGGGTGCCGGGTGCAGAGTGACACCTGCATGGATCCGTCTCCATCTGCGGTGCGGGCCCCACGGCCCCAGGTTCTGCCCCTGGCCAACGAGGTTCAAGCAGGGCTGACCCTTGACCAGAGGTGGGCGGGTCGCCATCCCTCCTCCGGAACGCGGGTCCTGGCATCCGGGCAGGCCATCCCTGAGGCCGTGTGCCGAGCCCAGGGGTGTCCACTCGCTGTCTAAGGTCTGGGGACGGAGCCCAGGGTGGAGGGAGAAGGCAGTGGCCTGACCCAGCGGCCGTGACGGCTGGCGGTGGGCAGCCCGAGCCGGTAATAAAGTCTCCTTTGCACTCGTGTGTTGGCTTCTGTTTCACGTGGCCGGGCACCCTGGCCAGCTTCCCTTCGGTACCTAACTCACCTGCTGGGCGGGGTCCCCATTCCAAGGATGAGAAAACCGAGGCTCAGAGAGCAGCCTGACTGCAAGCTGCCCTGACCCTCGATGGACAGGCCAGCAATGGGCGGCCCTGGAGGCCTCCCGCCCAGCACTGTGGGCGGGGCCAGCTCCTGAGACCCCGTCCAGGGAGAGGGGCAGCCACGTGGGGTGAGCCTGAGGGGCGGTGAAGGATGGAGAAGACAGACAAGAGAAGAACGCTGGGCCGGGTGGGACGCTGCCCTCTGATTAGAGAGACAGCTCCCCAGCCTGCAAGCCGAGTCTTCATTTTATAGCAGATCCCACCAGGCACAGTAAGGGCGTGGCCAAGATGGTTACAACGTTCTCGCGGGTTTTGAATCCACTCAATCACACGCACCTGATCGAGCTTTGTTTATTCGCTGCCCCTCCCGCCGCCCACATCACTCAGCCACCAGGAGCCGCTCCCACAGCAGTGCCCTTCCAAAATCAACTTTCTTTTTTCTTTTTAATATATTTTCATTGACTTCAGAGGAGAAGGGAGAGGGAAAGAGAGAGAGAAACATCAATGATGAGAGAGAATCGTTGATCAGCTGCCTCCTGGACCCCACCTCCCCCCACTGGGGGTCGAGCCTGCAACCCGGGCCTGTGCCCTGACTGGGAATCGAACTGTGACCTCCTGGCTCATAGGTTAACACTCAGACACTCAACCCCTGAGCCCCACCGGCCGGGCTGTCCCATTCATGACAGCTCTTGACCTAATGACCTAAGAGCCCACCTCCAGGCACCATCACACTTGGGATTAGATGTCAACAGGGACATGTGGGGACACCGCAGGCCGTCCCCAGCAGGGAGCGCGCTCAGATGTGAAGGGCAGAGGCGGAAGCCAGGCTGACGGTGGGGAGTGGGGGCGGGCACCTTGGGGACTTGTCCTCCCAGAGAGGTGGGCACCACTGTGGCCTCTGAGCAGAGGGCACGGGCTGACCTCGCCACTCGCAGGACGGAGGGCAGAGCAGGGGCAGAAAGCGGGGAGTGTGCTGGCCCGGGAGTCACGCGGGACGGAGAGCGGGCAGGGCTGAGGGTGGGCGACCCAGGCGGCCAGGCGTGGATGAGGGAGCGGCAGGGAGAGCAGCTGTGGGGTGGGGGGGATCTGAGTGTCTCTGACTGGGGGTCAGACTTCTGGGTCAGCCCAGGGCGTGAGAGACAAGGATGGAACGGGCCCAGGCCCAGCCCGGAGCATCCAGGGGGCAGGGGAGAGGGGGGGGGGATGAAGGCTGAGAGGAGAGGTTGGGGAGCCAGAGGGGACGGGGCAGAGAAGGACAGTATGCAGGACGCCAAAGGCCCTGGCCCTCAGGTCCACCCGAGGGCACGTCTTGAGGCCCCACCAGGTCCTCAACCGACCCACGCGGCCTCAGGGGGCGGGATGGGGGCTGCAGTTCAACCCGACC